ATTGTACTTTTTTCATATCTTCTTCAACACCTCTAATCGAGACTTTTAACAAAAATACTCGATTCTTGCCATGTACCATTTTTTGAGGAATATTAGTTATTTGCCTGCAATACGTATACAAAAATATTTATTGTTGGTTTCCATAGTTTCATCAAAATAAAAATATTGTCAAGTTTTAACACCTAATCTCTTGTTAACGATTGAAAGTGTTCTATCTGACTCAATAATTAAGAAAACAAATGCGTAGTTTATTAATCTGGCTGTACAATATACCAATGCAGAATATACCGATATGTTACTGACATTAGGATTTTGTGAAGGAAATGCTCGAGAGAGTGTCAGGGTGTACTCTGAAAGGTTTCCAAATCGTCGTGTACCTAGTCACCCAACTTTTGCTGCTGTTGAGAGACGTCTTCGGGAGACCGGTTCCTTTGCTCTCAACACTGTTGATAATGGAAGAGAACGTTTTGTAAGGATTCCTGAAGTTGAAGAAGATATTTTAGAACGTGTTGAAGAAGATCCAGAATTAAGAACCAGACGAATTGGAAGGGAACTAGGAGTAAGTAAAGATGTCGTTCATAAAGTGCTTAGAGAACAATTATTGCTATATTCGTTTGGGTTTCTGTCGATTTGTTAATATGCAAAGAGAAAGAGATCCAAACTTTGTCAAGGTTTTCTTTACCGATGAAGCGGGTTTTACAAGAAGAGGTATAACTAATACCCATAATGAACATGTTTATGGCGTTGAAAATCCGCATGCAATAAAGGTAAACCATTTTCAGCACGAATTCAAAATTAATGTGTGGGCTGGAATAATTGGTAATTTCATTGTTGGTCCTGTCATACTTCTACGAAGATTACCTGGAGAAAATTATTTGGATTTTCTACAAAATACGTTGCCAGAATTGTTAGAAGATTTACCTCTCCAACTTCGGAGAGATATGTGGTTTATGCAAGACGGAGCTCCACCACATTTTTCTTTAAACGTTAGAAACCACTTGAATGAACAATATTCACACAAATGGATAGGCAGAGGTAATGACGCACGTTCCCCAGACCTAACACCGATGAATTACTTTTTATAGGGATATCTGAAATCCTTTTCTTCCATTGGCGTAGAATTTTTAAAGGTGCAATTATTTAAAAAATCAAATTCTGCGCCTATGTATTATTATCGGACAAACTTTTAATACCAGTTTTTTTGACACGTAAAACTCTACCAATATACCAAATTTCAGCAAAATCGCATACGCCGTTTTAAATTTATATGGGAAAAACGATTTAAAAATTGTAACTTCAAGGCCCTCTGGAGCCCAAACGAAGCAACTTTGTACTAGGGTAATTTTACTTCAATCGACTTATTTTGGTGTAAGGAATATGTGGTATGTTTTTGTAAAGACCTTTTACAGACACCCTGTATAGTTAATCATACTTGAAACCACCTCTAAAACATTTAAACTACATAAATAGCCTTAAAATTTCAAAAGTAAAACAGTGTCGAAGGGGGTGGGTGGTTCAGTAGTAGAGTCTCTGCCTGTGGATCCAAGGGGCCCAGGTTCGAATCCCACCGTTAACCGGGATTTTTTTATTTAATTTATTTATTTAAAATTACTTCTGATGCCTTGGTAGGATTTCCCATTTGACCATTAACTGTTGGGTTCTTATTAACAGTGCTGTTCCTGAAGTGGCGCTGAGAAACAGTAACAAAGCCTAACAGAACACACATGATTAAGAAATTTAAACACAAACTTGAAACTGGCATAGTAGGTATATACACCTAGGCCCTAAATCGAAAAAAAAAAAAACAAAAAACCAATGTTGGCTCACTCCTAACAATCTAGATCTGTGAATCAACCTGTTGGCTAACCAACTGAGAATCAATTTGGGAAAAGTTGTCCCATTCAAGCAACTCTATTGAGTCCGTGGCAGGACCCAAACCTGATTGGGGAAAGCAGAGGTAGTCCTGAAAGGGTGAAACAGAAAAGTATAATTATTATTGTTACCGATGTTCAAATTTAGTAATTTAGTAATTTCCCTCGTATATAAAACGAAGTATATGAAATATAAGTCCGTTAAAATAGTGCCAATTAAGTGTAGAGGTGTTCGAGTGGTGGGTAAAGAATAGTCAACACATTAAAACTAGTAGACCGATGCTCTCCTCCGTCGTTAGTGTCAAAGTGGTTTTTTATTCCGATCCTATTAGAGTCCATGTGGCAAACGTATTTTATGGAGAAAGGTTTCCCCTTGCAATTTACGGATATAACGGTTAAGTGGTGTGTGTTTCTACAAACTGGGTCGTTGCAAATATGACACCGCTCGCCAATGGCTATAAATCGTCGGCTCAATTTATCTCTTCTAGGTAAAAATAGAAAATGCAATGCCGCAGAAGGTGTACGAATACAATGCGATGAAAGTGTAATGAATACGTTGCTTGTTTGACTAAATTTCTAGCATCACATCACAGTGGTGGTTTGTCAGACAATTTTTTATTAAATATTTCTATTAAAAGCGGCGTCTGACCATGTCTCGAAAATTGTTTATCTGAACAGTTTTGCAATTTTTTTTACAAAATCGTTAAAAGAAAATGCTTAAGAGCTATTGCACTGCTCACAAATGCAATCAAAATGTGTGAATTTCAAGTATTTGGTTTTCATTCTAGACGACACAATAATGAATATATTTTAATATTTTTTTTTTTTGCAAAAAGATAAAGGCTTGGACTATCATCCTACAGACGCTTTTGATTAAAATATAAACGGTTCAACCAGAAAAAAATCTATAAGTTCAATAAAATTGTTAAAAAGAACCTAACTTTACCAGACAAATTATTATATCAAAAATACATTGTTTTTCAAATACAACGATGTAAATGTAGTTTCATCTTTTCTCAAGAGAATAAAAAAATAATAATTAAAATTGGATTTGAAATAAAGATGTAATCATATAAATACCGAAAGTTGTTATTCCTAGAAATACCTATAAAACGAAATATTTTGACTCCCTTCTCTCCACATTGCATTTTCATCGACGCATCGCTCGGCGCGACTCGTTTTCAATCGACTAGTGCAAAAGCACTGTCACAGAGGATTGCATCCTCTGTGGCACTGTCCGCGACTTGTATGGCGTATTTCAATTTTTATCAGTGTTGGACTCACCCATCATTAACAATGCATTAATGGTTCTTTACATTCGTTTAGGTAAAAATAATAATTATTAGGTACATTCCTAAATATCTACACAGTTTGTTAAAAGGAAATATTGTTAATTAGTTAAGAGCTGTTGCACTGTTTACTATTACAATCGAAATGTGTGACTTTCGAGCAAATTCTTTTAATTTTAGAAATCACAAAAATAAATATATTTTATTAACTTTTTTTTTTAAAACGATGGAACCATCATGTAAACGTTTTTAATAAAAAGCTAAAGGGTACTTCATGAATGTTTATTTAAAAAAACTGAAGAAATCTTTATTCAATTTTAATAAGAAATAACAAATCTATCAAGGGCTTGTCCAAACTTAAAATAATAGAAGGAAGAAGAAGAGTTACACCACATTTTAAACAGACGTTAATAAATTAAAAACAAATAATTTTTGTTTTATTTTTGAATCCTTTTTTTGTTTTTTGTTTTCGATTGCTTCTAAAATATAAGCTGGTTCCCTTAATGGATTCCCTCTTACGTGTCTTGGATCTACCAGTTCTGGTAATATACAATTCATAAAAAAACTTTTTAATTTTTGTTCCATTTTGTTTTGCCAGAAATAATTTCTCTTTAGTATGTACTCTACTTTGAGTGGATATTTATGGTCTGTCCAAACACCAAAGATACACCCTTTCCGGCCAGTAATATGTAACTGGCCTTGTAATTGGTAATACCATTGGTGTTCTGTATTTACTACATGTTCCCCAGTTTTTTATCAGTAATCCAAAACGGAATTTTCGTTTTTTCTATTGCGTCGTTCACTTCCATTTTATTCGCTGAATATGGACATTTTACTTTAACCACAAGATCATCGCCAACGATTCCATCTGGTGTTGCACCTAAAAAATAATAATTTTTTATATATTTTTTTTCTAATGTTTTTAGTGTATACAAATATTTTAAGATATTTTTTATTTTTAATATAAAATAAACGGTACCAGAGTCGGCATATTTTTAAATAAGAAAAATATTACGTATTATTTACCCACCTAAATATGGATATTCTTGGTCGATAAAAATTCCACATTCTTCAATTAAAATATTTTCTTTTTCTTGTAGTTGGAGTAAAGCCACTTTCTCATATTTTTTTTCATGAGAAATGGAAACTGCTTTAGGAGATGACTCATAAACTATTCTTTTTACTAATGGTCCACTCAAAGTAGTGCTTCTTCTAGTACATACTGCCTTAAAATATGACGCTGTAATTATTTTCCTTCGGACTTCAAGCCATAAGCTACTTTTTGCCTGGGAAAGAGTTTTTTCTTTAATTGAACTTTTTTTAGAATCAGATGATGGTAATCCTTTCAGAAAATCTTTTTTCTTTGCCTCAAAAATATTTTCATCCAAATCTGGTTTGCTGCAAAAAAAATTTCTGAGCAAGTGATTTCTACACTCGATTTTTTCAATAGTTAAATTATCATAGGATCTATTCTCTAAAATTTTTTTATAAGTGCTACTATCACCATCACAAATTAGCTTTGCATATTTAATACCGTGCAATTTTTCGCTATGTTTAAAACCCTCTAACAAAATGGTGGATTCCATTCCTGTAGAAGTTCCAGTATAGTTTTTATAGCATTTATGTTCAATTTGTTTATTGGCTAAACAAATCGAACAAAACTTATTTTTTACACCTAGATATAAAACTTTTCCAAATCGGTGGCCTATTGTTGTGGCTGCAACGGAGAGGGCATTGTAGTTTGATCTACAAGACCTTTTAGACCAGCATCCGTCTGCCCCAACGGTTATTAATGGAATTCCATTTTTATCGACCTGACCGATTTCCTTTGCATATCTGCCTATTCTTTTGCTGCTATTGCCATTTGTTTGCTTGATGTTTGTTCCCACGCATCGCTAATTTGACATTTATTGTACTTAGTTTGCAACATAAATGGTAAATTGAGTACACTAAATAGTTCTTCAGTATTCCAGAAACCTAAACCTACACTCATTGCCCCATGAGCAGCATCAACATCTATATCTGTTTCAGTAGTTCTATTTACCTTTTCCAAAATTATATTTGATGTTGTTGTAGAAAATTCATCACAATCTTAAAGAAAAGAAAAAAGAAACACTTAGTAATTTACCAAAAATTCATGATTCAAATTACCCAAGAATTGAAAATAATTATTTCGGACTCAAATTTAGTCTTTTAAATATTTTAAAAATCAATTCTCATTAATACGAAAGTAATAGTAACTTCGGAAAAATATTTTATATGTACTTAATTTAGTTTCTTACCTAAAATACCATCTAAAATAGACCGAACAAAAGTTTTTACTTTAGCCCTATTTAAATTAAGGCCCGTGGTTTTAAAATTCTTTCTTTTAACATAAGAATCCTTTCTTTTTCCCATGCTTTTAATATCTCGATATTTAAAATACAAATTTTTAATAACACTAACACAATACACCGCGTATCGAATCTTTCAAATTATACTGAGTCCATCCCAAAACAATATTTGTATATCCGTGTCCTATACGGTAGTTGCGGATGCAATTAAATGAATGTCTCTGACAAGGGTTTCTATCTTTTGAGGTGGGAGTATTGGAGGAGATACCTACTGCAAATTTCCCCTGAAACGAAATTCAAGCGTCCAGAGCAATAACTCTTAAACTATATGATATAAGTGCTAAAAGGATATTTTATTTTGTGAGAAGGGAAGTTTGGAACACTTCAAACAAAATAAAATCACTTTTAGCACGTATATCATACACTATTTTTTCTACAAACCCTATTAAAAGTCCAAATTAACGCATACCTATTTTACATTAATTAATTGATAAAATAATAGCCTCGAGATTATCAGTTTTTAATCCAATGTCATCTAATCTATTCATGAAACAAGTTGCCAAGGTAAACAAAAACCGAATTTGTTGATTTGTCTTTGTTGACAACTAACGTCAATAAATCACGAATTATTCTTTCTCGTTTCTTCGTTCCTCGATGGAAAGTTATCAAGAAAATGCTGCCGGAAATTGAAGAAGGTGCCAATAAAGCTGCTTCTGAATTATTGCCTAATAAGTCAAAGCAACAGTACGAGTTTTCATACGATCGTTTCTTGAAATGGTGTGATAAGAAAAATGTCAGTGGCAAGGAGGCCAATGAAAAAGTGTTTCTTGCATACTTTGAAGAAAAGTCCAAAATATGGTCGAATAACTCTATGTTAAAGTCAATGATAAACATAAATAATTATGACACAAGCAGATATTACAGGCGAAAGGGTGAAGGATATCGACCGAAAAAGTCAAAAGTATTGACAAGGGAACAAATCGACAAAATTCTCGCAGAAGCCCCGGATGAAATATATCTAATGCAGAAAGTTGCTTAGATTTTTGGTGTTCTTGGAGCCTGTCGTCAAAAGGAACGGTGCGATTTGACATTAAATAATATCTAGGATTCCGGAACTTCACTAGTTGTGCATATACCAGACACAAATTAATGTATAATGCACCTTTGTTGTAAGTGGTACTTTGTATATGAACTACTATAAAAAGTACATAGCTCTTCGTCCAGTGGATATTAATCATTCAAGAGTTTTTATGAAATGCAATAAAAATAAACGCTGGTGCTAGTCTTACTACAATTAAAAGACGATGGAAGTCCAGTACAGTAGCAGAGGGTTATATAGAAGACTCGTTACAAAGGAAACAGAACATTTCGGATCAAATTTTGTCCAAAACTTCGGCGGATAACATTGCTCTCTGCCCTGGTACAAGCTTCACCAAAATAAATTCTGTTACATCTGCCAATAAGACTGGCCATGGAGTTTATTATAATTGTAGTTTCACTAATTGTAAGTTTAATTGAATAAACACTTCATTTTGAATTATGTTTTTACATGTTCTCATAAAAATAAATCACTTTTAGAACTAGTATTTACTTTTAACACCAGTGTCATAAAATGGCATTTAAGACACTGACAGCATGCGTTAAAAATTATAGTTTTACTGACGTTGTGTGATGTGTTTCTTTATTTTTTTTGTCTTAGTTGTACGAGTTGTAACGAAAAAACAACATCTATATATGTTTAGTTTTAATGAAAATTCCTAGGTAAATCGATGCGATTATATGTGGTTTAGATACCAAAACTCAAAAGTCATTTTTCGAGTACTTTAAAACAACTCCATTTCCTAAGAAGTCTTTATAACCCCTATATACTTCATGAACGGTTTTCAATATTAAAATTAATGCCAGGAAGTACAGTTTTCCCGAAAGCTTTATTTAAAGTCAACCGCGCATATACGGTAGATTTCTATAGGCGAACGTCAATCTTAACTCTGGATCAAAAATGGAAACACCTAGATTCTATTGCATCTGTGTGTCTCATTACAAATTATACATATTCTTTTATTACAAAATTTTAAAACTAATACTACAAGTTACAATGCTTTAATTATTTGAACCATATCAATTCATTAACAAATTATAAAGCTATTTTCTTTTGTTGGTTTGATGATGGCCCATAGTGGCCGAAACTAGTCGCCATATGCATTAGTACAGTGCTATATTGAAAGTTTAACTAAAATTTTCAAATATTTACAGTAGACAATTTAAAACGTGTAAGTAACTAGATCTGAGAAACTTTGTTACTATTCTAAAGAAAAGAAAATTCAAAAACTTCGCAGTCGTAACGTTTTTACTGAAATTTTGTCGTATGTTGTCCCTTGCCTTGGTACTAATGCTAACGATTTACCGTGCCATATTTAATGGATTTGTTATTCTTTTGGGTTAATACATATGACACATACTATTTAATTTCTTACTTTCTGCGGGTATTTTGTTTATTTTTTTATGAATTCATCATACGATACATCTTTATGGTTTACTTCTATGAACAATAATTTAAATTTTTTTAAACATATTGGGTATGTTTTTAGAATAGTCATTTTACAATAATTTTAGCGAGTTAAACATTGCATGTGTTTATTGGACAATTTTATTATTTTAAAGAAATATAGGTTTAAAAATGTTCAATTTGTGTGGGACTGACTTTGAGTATCATTTCTTAAATTTATAAATTTGAGGTTTTTACTTTATTTCTTTTTTATTTACTGAATTTATGGGGAAGTTCTAGAATAGATTGACCTGTCTAATGGCTCCCCTTTAAGTTTTCTACTATTTCTGGAATTTTTAACAAGCTAGTTATTGTCTGAGTCAAAGAACCAAAGCTTAGGGACCTTCTGCGACTTAACAAAAGCATTTTAGTTAGTGAGCTTCACAGACTACTGTTACAAAATCTTTGTCATTATGGTATTAAAGATATTGCTCTAATTTACATGTAAAGGTAATAGTTTTTTAAAGCCACTACATATTTATGTTAACTGGATATTAAGTTCTTCAATGGTTAGTTTGTAATTTTTATACATGAATAGGCATTTCTTGATATTTCAGTCAACTTGATACTATTTTGTATTAAAGTTTTAAATGTCTTAAGAAGCAATTTTTTGTATAGTTTAGTAATAACAAGGCAATAAGGGTTTAGGCATTATAACCTTTGGTACGTACTTTAGTTTAAACGACGAATTGAATATACCATTTTGTCAATAGCTTTCCGTGGAAGCATTTTTAACATTTTCTTGGTAATGAGATCAAATCCATGAGCAGTTATTGGATTTTTACGAGAGTGATGTAGGTTTTAATCTAATAAAATAAAAATCAAGTTGATAAAATTGAAAGGTATAGGTTATTTTAATAATTCAGGAAAGCTATCATTAAACTGACCTGTTATAAATGCAGCAGTTCGCCTTAAATAAGTTCCAGATGCTGAAATTGTCCCAATTTCTAAGCCAGGACAACTTGCAAATGTATCCTATAATAGCTAAACTGCTTGGAACGCTGTTACTAAAAGGAACCAAAATCGATAAGTGGAATTAAAAACCTAATATCGTGACACCAATGTCGTTTAACATATATATCTTGACAAAAGATCAAGTACGAAAAAACAAAGAAACAAATTAATACTCAGCTACATTCCTTCACGTGTCTCAATTATTTTACAAGGTTTGACATACTGAAATAATGTTTTAAAATCTGTTTGACTTCTTTAAAATACTCAAATACATGAATAAAAATGTAGCAAAGAAAGTAGAGGATAATCAAAGTTGAAACTTCCACAATAATGAAACATCTTGTATGCTAAATCCTACTGACTGCGCCAAAACGTTTCACAAAAGTAGAGATTAGCATTGTAAGTTGATGTTTAATGTATATTAGCTCTCTTTAAGGGTTAAAAATCGAGTTCAAAAAGCATTCAGAGGGGAGAACTGAAAAGAAAATTACCGAAAGGGGGAACTAAAGATTACTCTAATATATAATAATAATAATAATAATAATAAACGACTTTATTAATTTCAGATAATTTTAACAAAATAAATACATATATATACAAATGTAATTTACATAGAGATCTGAAATTAAAAGGCGAAGTTCAGTTCATTCGTTGACACGAAATCAGCGATGAACTGCTCTTCCACTTAACCTTAAATAAGACTCACAAGAGAACATAAACAAAGAGTATTAATAAAGAAACTATAATCACACTTAACATCCTAATCTATATATTTGAATACCGATCCAAAAAATATTTCTTAAAATTAATCTTAAACTGCGAGACATTGAGTTTTTTAAACTGATCTGGAATATCATTATAAACATAACCTATTTGATAACTAAAACTACGCCTAAAGAGTTCTAATCGAAAATTAGAATGGGTTAAAAGCCCCCTAGACCTAACATTAATATTATGTACATCAGTTCGATAAGTAATTTTCTTATGTAAGTATACAGGTATTTTTGTACAAATTATTTTGTGACACAAAGTTGCCATATGAAAAGTTCTCCTATTGTCCATATTCAACCAGCCAATTTCTTGTAATTTATGAGAAATATGTTGTCTTCTATGAATTCCAAAAATTAATCGTAGACATGAATTTTGTAGCTTTTGTATTTTATATTGAAATTGTTTGGTTAGACATGGGCCATATAAAACATCAGCAAAGTTAAAATTTGATAGCACTAATTGCTCACATAACAGTGTTTTTACATTTGTTGGGAGAACATTCCTGTTTCCATAAATAATTTTTAGAACTGAATAAGCTCGCTTAATAAGTTGATTAACATGTTTTTCAAATCTTAAGTCACTATCTAATATGACCCCTAAACTCTTTGCCTCATTAACCATTTTAAGAGGTAAGTCATTAACTTTTATATCTACAGAATTACATATAAGTTGTCTTTTATTTTTAGGGCCGAATATAACAATGTTTGATTTATCACAGTTAATATTTAAGCAATGATCCGAGGCAGCCTTAATAAAATTAGAAAGATCATTATTTATCTGGTTGCAAGCATTTT